GCTGAAATTAGCCCAAAGATTAAGGTAGTAACTGTCCATAGTAAAGTAAAAATCTAAATGCATATAACCAAACTGAAAGCAGATGAAAATATGTTATCAATTGAGCTGAGGTAAAAATAGCCACCAAATTGGTATTTGTATATAATCTAAAAGACAGTAAAACTGGATCAGATCTTTGGCTCCTTTTGTCCAAAAGAAACATTTGTGTCTCCTTCCAAAAGACATTTTTCCTGCTGAACTGCTACAGTAACATAAAAAGACATTGAGACTGCTGTAGTTCTGGTGTTTATAAAGATGGCTAAAAAGGATTTGAACACCATAGCACTTCTCTTTTGTGGAGGTTGCAGTGCTCATAACAATGCAATTGCCTTTTCACAAAATGGGTTAAAAGGGTAAAAATCAGGTACATCAGCGCTAAGAAAGGTTACAAGGGCATTTTGGCACTGATTTACTGAAGTGCAGACTGTAGTTTAAAGTGCTGGGAAAATGGTATAGGCAAAAGGAGTTACTCAAGTTTCTCTTGAGCTCCATGCCATAGTGCACATATTCCCCTTTCCAAATGAAGTGATGGACAATCCACAAGAAGAATCCCAGCAGGAAGCTGCATTTATGTCTCTTCAAAAATATCAGAAATAAAACTACTGCCTTTCTAGGGAGAGAGAACCCACAAATTTAAGAGCAGTGGATGACCTTAATGTACAACAAAGGGTGGTGGATTCATATCCCTTTATAACTTGCCTGCAAAGTGGAAGCTATTACTGAACTGCTTTTCCTTGGTGCCTGGGCTTTGTGTGTATGATCCAATAAAAGTAAAACTTAAGGAATCACATAAAAATATGAATAACATTAAGAGTAAACAGAAGGATAGAGGAGAAGCAACGCAGCAATGATAAGTTGATGCACAAGTATAAATTACTTTGGGTGTGGATGGAACCGAGGAACTGTCAAAATAAAGTGAGTGAAAAATTTTGCTTCGTAGGAAGTCAGTAGTTTAACTTTAATTGCATCTAACTCTTTAATTGCATCTGGCTCAGGATTAGCTGGGTTTATTAATCCAAAAACTGTTTAAATTTGTCCAGACATTATTGCTGCATTGCTTGACAGTTGATGCATCTCTTGCAAACCAAGGTGCCTGTAATTTGCAAAGTGACCCTGAGAAATAGCTTGCATTATATTAGAGAAGTATTGCACAAACCAGCCTGATTTTTGGGGTGGAGGGGGAAAGCTGGAGGAGATGTGGGGTGAAAGTGGGTTAAAAAAGATCCTTTTTCCATCTCTCCTGGATTCTGATCTGCTCCTTTATCATGTCTCAGGTGCTTTGAGGAGTCCTGGCCATGTTCTGTCTAGGTCTTGGCATTTCCTAGCACAGAAGGTGTTACATTAGAAGATATGGACCTTTTGGACCAGGTCCAGAGGAGAGCTGTGGATGACCTTAATGTACAAAGGGTGTCCATTAAGAGGCCAGAGGAGGGAGGCCAGTCCTCCGAAAGGCTTCCATCTTGGAGGTCTGTTCCCCAAGATAAAACAGAACTACTTAGTCATGGTGACTAAGCTGTGGACCCCTTCCTGCTTTGGGACCCTATGTTATCTCCTTGTGAACTATTTTCATTTTACTCCAGTCTTAAACCTTTGGTCCTTTTCCCAATTCTCCCCTTCCCTATAAAAACCCTGGCTTTTGCCCAGTTTTGTGGATGAGGCATCACGGGCCCCTTTTGCTGAAACCTGCCCATAAAGGACTCTGTGGAACGCTACACAGCCTCCTGTCTCTCATCCACGTGTCAGCTGGGGTACTCCATGAATGGAGCTGGCTAGGCTGATCTGAGCTGATCACTACAAGAGCCGAAATCACATCTAAAAGAGCTGATCACTTGAAGCCTCAGGCTGAGCTCATATGGGTTGCCCCTGGCTGGAAACTGCCTGAGACCCCTGGACAGGAGTTCCTTGTGGGGCCAGGGGTTGGACAGACCCCCGGAACCGGCCCCAAAAGAGAGCCACAAAACTGGTCAGAAGAATGGAGTACATCTCCTCTTAGGAAAGGCTGAGAGAAAGGAGTTTTAATTAAAAATAGATAGATTCAAACCAGATATAAGGACGAAATTTTGTTTAATTTGAGCAGTAAGACACTGGAACAGGTTCCCAGGGAGGTGGTAGATCTCCATCTCTGGAAACAATCCATGTCAGTGTACAGGACTTTGAGCTAACCCAAGCAGTGGAAGATGTCCCTGCTCACTTTGAGAGGGCTTGGAACAGATGACCTTTAAAAGTGTCCTTCAACCCAAACTATTCCATGACTCTATGACTAGGAATTAAACTGTGCAAGGGCAGGGAGTGTTGCATGTATGCACAAACATAGTCTTGTTCCAGCTGTTTGAAAAGCCTAAGGCAGGCAGAAATGTGTTGATAACAATAGCAATGACTACAGAGAACTTCATCATTGGTGGAGTTAGTGGAGAAAAACATGCAAGAGCCCAGGTACCTGATGTATCCAAACCTTAACTGAATCAGCACCAGGGCCTCATCATTTCAAGGATAACCTAAAAGTTACTAAAAACCTATCAGCTGTTGATGCTTGCTCATAGTTTACCTTAGGCTTCATTGGCTAAAATGAGGAGTCTTAACGTTCAGCTGAATTCCACCTTGTCTCAAGAATTACCAAACCAGAGTTTGATAGCTCCTTTAGAGGAGTAGAACACTAAGCCAAGTATGTTGTGTCTTTATGCCTTTTTTCCTCAAGACAGAGTTATTTCCTACCACACAATTATAGAACAGTTGTGGTGTAAGCACAACTCTGCTGTTGCTAACAGACACGCACCAGGCTAAACTTGGTCTCACAGTCAAAGCAGCTGAATGTCTCCACAATTGTACTTATGACCTATTGGCACAATTCTGCTACATACATGATTTAATGCACATGAAACTGCCACCCTCAGACTCTTATTTCTTGAGGGCACTGCCATAGAGTAGCTAAGACAAACATGGTCACAGACTGATTTTGTGAGGCTAAAGTGTTGCATTACCCAATGAAATATTTATTAGTTGTTCAGACCCAAATATGAACCCATATGTGAATTCTGTAATTATTCTTCATCACCACCACTATATTTCAGGGCACACTAGCCTTAGTTACATTATTCTATCTTCTAGGCTAACTTGCTCTGAAAGAAATCTCCTTTCTAATAGGTGCACCACAAATTATTCATCCTTCCCTGTAGCAAGGCACTGCATGTTTAAGGCAGCAATTAGGATGAGATACATTAAGAATAACACGAGAAACAATCTTTTGTTTTTAGGAGTCTGCAGACCCTTTTTCTTCCCATTGCTTTTAGCTATTAAAAGCTAGTAGTTTAAGAAAAACAATTTTAGTAAAAAATATTTTGAATCATATAAAGTTTATTTACTTAGTAAAGGTATATTACAGTATGTACAGTTTCTATTTACATATACACCTAAGAAATGAAGCACCATATGATACAGTTAGTATTTTAGCGGATTTACAGATATATTATTTTTGCATCCAAATAGTTACATCTACAGACACACACGGATTAGAACCAAATTCTTATACAACACTGACTTCAGTTTTGGTTTTGGATTAGACTGCTGGTGAAGTTACCAAAGAGAAATTTAATTGCTGTCAGCTATCAACCTGCTGTACTTCAGGATAAGAGATCTTACCTATGTCATTTCAGAGGCTATATGCAATCTTAATCCTCAGAGTCAGAGGTATGAACAGAAGGTACTTTATAAGCCACAAGAATGTAACACTTTCATCAGTAAGATTTTTACTGTCATCAAAAAACAGAGTTTCATTAAAAAGAAAGAAGAACACTGCTGGAGTGTTTATATGCAGTACAGAAAGTGAAGTTAAGAGCCTGGAAGCTTATGTGATGCAGTATTATGTATTCCTCAAGGAACACATTTACTCTCAAGCAGCCCAGTCTTACAACCACTTGCAGCATGATCCCCTTAACTCAAGGGGTAATTCTAGCTGTTGGCTTTGTAATCTTTATGCCACCATCAAGAAAAAAAGAAGGCTCTGTCCAAGGTACAAAATTTCCTTCAAGTGAATAAAAGACATTTGGAGGGGATAAATGTAAAATGAGGTATTTAATAAGCTATGGGGGAAAAAAATCACTTAGTTTGAAAGACCGTTCTGAAAAATATTTTAGAATTTTCATATATGCAACTGTTACATTCACCTGATTGTGGGTCAAGTTTTGTATAACCTGCTTATACTTTTTGCACTATCAATTCATACTGTTCATATTTTTGCTTCACTAGATGTGGGATCTAACGGCTGGAAGAAAACAACGTTACTCTGAGGACAGTTGTTGTGACAGACACAGGTATTGATCATCATCACTGGCTTTTTTAGGACTTTGCCCTGGGGGCAGCGGAACTCAACCTGGATGGTTTTGGTGTTGTGTGGGGTGCAGCAGCGCCCGTCGCTGCAGAGGCCGCAGTAACGCGGTCTGTACGTCTGCACACTCGTGCAGTTCTTGTACTCGTAGCGAACAGCCCTCACAGACTTCTTCGTCCGGATACATTTCTTCCCCTTCTAAAAGAAATATGAAGAGACAATAGATATATCATTGCACAAGACAGACAGCATTTGACAACTGACATGCAAAGATACAGGCCTACTCTGAAAATTTCTATTTGTTGTCTTTACTCATCCAACAGCAAGAAGACTCTGAAACTGCTTCAGTAGTTACCTACAGGTGACACCTGCACATCTGCTCTTCAACCACCAGTGTGTTATTGGACCAGTAATGAAGGACAAATAATTAAAATCCACTCCTGTCATCCGAGACAAGCCCAGTCTACATTCATTAAGAAACTATACTCTACTGAAAAACTTCTCGGGCTAGGGTAGTTCCATCAGAGAACCATAGAGAACCAAGAGTAACTTGTAACAAGCAAGTTACAGGACTAGATGCAAGGGGAAAAAAGGGGAGTAAAATGAACTGCAAAGGTCATCACCCATTCCTCTGACTCAAGGCACAACCAGCTCTAGCCATATTATTTTAAACAAATGATTGACTCACTTGTCTGTGGAAGTCTTCCATGACAGAGACCTCACATCTGCCCCAGACAACCCCAGGAGTTCACTGTTTTTACTTCCTGGAACATTTTCACTCATGTCTTAATTTTTATGTGGTCTAAACTCGCCATTTCTTGTTATATCCTCCATGGACTCAAAACAGGCTGCAGTATCTGAATACAGTTATGAGAACACATCTCTCTTCCCTTGCATTCAGAAGAAGTTCAGTTCTATCTGGTTTTCCCTAGATAAACATGTTTTCTAGACCTCTGATCATTCTTGTTAATCTCCTCAAGTCGTCCCACATGTTTCATGTCCTTTAGAAAACGGTATTTAAAACTGCAGAGACTGTTCAGCAAAGGCCTTACAAATGCTTTCCAACACTCAGAACATTACATAAATTGATGGGCTTTGTACCTAGCTGCATGTTATTCTTCCTGATAGAAGCACTTGCATAATGTGTAGAAGTAAAAAAGTCTTCTCCTTTAGATAAAATTTATTTTTTTTAGATCAAAAATACCAGTTTTGGGTTTGCTTTTGGAAAAAAAAAATATAAGGATTAAGATAAGGTTTAATTTATCAAGCAGACATTTCACACATTTCTCTGCTGTTCCAGATACTCAATAGACTAGAAATCTGATATAACCATTCTGTATCACTGAAGCAACTCTGATGTACAGAGTACAGATAGTACAGTTGCATTTGTGGAAAAGTTGAGACTGTGTGAACTGTTGACCTGCACATGCAATACATGTGATCTGTTTGAGATGATTTAAATTATCATAGAAAGATAGACCAGCTTGGGTTGAAAAAGATCTTTAAAGGTTATCCAGTCCAACCCCCTGCAATGAGCAGGGACATCTTCCACTAGATCAGGTTGTTGAGAGCACTGTCCAGTCTGACCTTGAACATTTTTGGGAATAGGGCATCGACCACCTCCCTGGGCAACCTGTTCCAGTGTCTCACCACCCTCACGGTATAAAATTTCTTCCTCGTATCCAGTCTGAATCTGCCTCTTTTAATTTAAAAACCATTAGCCCTTGTCCTACCATAACAGGCCCTACTAAAAGTCTGTTCTCTTCTTTCTCCTAAGTCCCTGTCAAGTACTGGAAAGGGCTGTAGGGCCTCCCCAAAGCCTCCCCTTCTCCAAATCGAACAATTCCAACTCTCTCAGCTTTACCTCATAGGGGAGGTGAACCAGCCCTTGGTGGCCCTCTGGATTAATCCCAATAAACCCATATCTTTCCTGAGGGCTGCAGAGCTAGACACAGTGCTCTGGGGGTGGGTCTCACCAGAGTGGAGCAGAGGGGCACAATCATCTCCCCTGACCTGCTGGAGGTGCAGCAAAAGCTACTGAGCAAGTCTAACGCTTTACCAAAAACACTCAGCTTGCTGCACTTGTGCTAAAAGGTGTATTTATGTACAGTTGCATCTGGACCATTGTAGACCGTGTATTGCAACCTTGGAATTAGAGCTGAAGAGATTCTGCTGCCTTGCCTCACTCTTTGCAGCATACCTTATCAGGCAACTCTTCATTTTCACAAGGTCTTATCGTGCAAAGCCGTGTCTGCTTCACCATTTCACACTGCTGATTCCTGTTGGTAACCCGGGTGGAAAAGCCCATTCCACAGCTCTTGGAACAAGCACTCCATTCTGTTGTCTGCTCAATACAATTGGCACTTGAATCTGACACATCAATCCCGAGTGTGGCCTCTTGCCTGTAGGCTGAAGACAAAACCCCACAGAACCTTATTACAAGAAAAACTCACATGAATCCTCAATATCTAATTGAGCTCTATCATATCTGGGAAGGAACATGTGAGACAAAACAAGGTTCAAAATCCATGCTTTTGACAGGATTTAGAAATTTTTAAAAGTTGTCTTTTTAGGAACCCTGAGTAGCAACTTCCTAGATCTAAAAAAAAAAAATAAAAATCCCCAAACCAGAAAGTTGCATATCAGTGTAATCAGCAAAGCATTTAGATTCTGTTCACTCAAGTCCACAGCTGGAAGGATTACTGCCACCTTTTAAACCAGCTTAGAGCCCTCATAGATTTTTATTCTTCACTCTTTCTAATGGAAATCTGTCACAAGTCTGTTCTAAAGCTATGTCATAATAATATCTATATTAGGGAAATATCTTACAGAAAAGTGTGAAACTTTTTGTTTAACCTAATGTGCTTCACAACACTTCATAGCACACTGAAAAGCTCAATCTTTTCTTCCTCAACCCTTTCTCACTTGTTTTTTAAATGGATTAGCTGAGTTTTGGCATAAGTAACTGCCTAAGATCACAAAGTGCAGTGACTGGAAGAGAATCCAGTGTCCTCCACTCTCAACAGAAAGTTATGAAAATTCATGTTGAACTAATAGTATAATTTAAAGGGGATGGAGACATAATTCAGTAGGGAAAAAATGAAAACAGGGAAAAACTGAAAAGGGAAAAGTATTATCTAGCTTTTTTAAAAGCCTGAGTTCTTAACTTTGGAATGGATTGGGTTTTCTTACAAATCCATTCACTGTGTTTATAACCACTGCCTCTACAAACACTCTGTAATGTTTTTTAATGCCACCAATAAACATGAGCACTCTAGCACAGACAGGCTGGAATTCATTGGCATTTTAGCTACCCTGCTGACCACTTGTAAGAGCTGCAGAATTCAGGAGAGAAAACCCCGTAGACTAAGCTGTTACATTATGTTGTAACATAATCTTGTAGAGCAACTAGCAAGACTGCAGATTTTTATTTTTTTTTCCTTGGTGTGGGAATGTTTGGAGGATTAGGAACTTGTCCTTGTTTTCTTCTGGTGACAGAACTAATGTGTAGCAGATAAACAGAAATTTAAAAACTGGGAACTAGCTTAATTAACTTTTTAAACTGCTATGCATATTCATTCTCTGAATATTTCTTTTACCTGTTGAGTTCTGCCTTTACTCATAACCACTGCTATATCTACTAGCCACTCCGAATCAGAAAAAAGACCAGAAAAAAACCCAACCATGCAAGCAATGTGCCTTAGATCTGGCAATCCTGTGGATATTTTCACGATGATATCACCTCCTGCTCAAAACGACTATGAAAACTGATTTTAGTTTCCTCACCAGCCATAGCAAAACCTCCCAAAATCACTTCATCGTCAGGGTCGCAGACCCACTTCTCACAGCACTCTCCAGGGACTTCGACTTTTCTGGGGAAGGGGCAGTCGGGGCCGGGGAGCAGCAGGTCCAGGTTGCAGCGGGGCAGGCAGCCGATCTGGCCGTCGCGGCAGGTGCACTGGTACTTGCAGCTGGGCTGGAACGTCTCCCCGTTGCGATAAATCATCCCATCAAACACGCAGTTGTCTCCCTCCAGCACTAGTGGGAAGAGGGGAGGCATTTCTCAGAGGCAGAGGGCACTCGGACACTCCCCGGACCCCCAGCCCCTCGGGGCCGCACCGGCACCGCCCGCAGCATCGGGGCAGCCCCGGCGGTGCTGCGGATCGGCCGCTTCGCCGGAGAGCAGGCGGGAGAACCGCGGGACAGCGACACCCGCAGCGGGCCCGGCCCGGG